CCCCAAAACCCCAAAACCCCAAAACCCCAAAACCCCAAAACCCCATAATCTTTAATCTGTATGAATTTTGAGAATCAAATAAAGAAATATACTTAGAACACATTTAACATAGTCATTTCATTAGCTACATGTTAAATGAAACAAACTAGTCATCATCGTCCATTGGATCTTCCAATATATCACTTACTTAGGGATCAGTATGATTATACCAGAATTACTACTAAACATGATTTTGCTGCAATTGCACGCTTCCAAAACTTCCCTTTAAATTCTTTGACTCAATATTTGATTCCCCATTGATATTAGCCAGCTAGTTACTATTGTAATTAGGATGGCTGATTATCTTAGGTTGTTTGCTATTTGCATTCTGGTATTAATTGTTGCTTTATACAGGTATTGGCTGAAAACCTTTAGTTCCATTAGTGGAATATGACTTTGCCCCAGACTAGCATGTGTTAGTTAAGAGTTGTGAGTACTAAGACTTCTACCTCTTTCTAACTTCATAAGGACTATAATTTTCAATGAATTCATCTATGGTCAAGAATCCACCTCCGACTCTAATAATTATTTGATCTTTTTCAATCTTAATGAATACTCTTCGTTTACCATAGGAGTAGACACCATCTTACTCTCTTACAAACAATAAACTTGCCTTCTTGTGAATCTAGTTATTATTGATGAAGTCAGCTAGCTTTTTATCTATGGGATCATCTTTTGCTGCTTGGTAGACAAAGTTTATTCTTTGTAAGTCATTCAAGTATTCACTCATTCTTTCTAGCTCTTGTTCTCTCTCCTTCACATTATTTAAAAGTTCTTATTGCTGGTTGATGCTTTATTCCAAATTGCTCTAACTTTCTTCATAAGCATTTTATATAATGTTCAAATGATTCTCAATCTAGCCTCCATGCTTTTCAGAATTAAGTAGTTGCTGCTATAGATAATCTATCTCTTGTTAAAGAATATTAGACATTCTGCCCTCAGTATCAATTTCTTAAAATGTGTTGGCAATTCTAAGGTTTTCTTAGGTTAAAGCTAAAATTTAAACTTAAAAAAAATTTGCTTACTCTTTATTATAGCTTCCTTATCAGACTTCTCCTTCATAAGTTGGCTAATTTCTTTTTGTAGGAAGTCTATCTCCGCATCTTTTTCAAAGAAAAGAGTTGCTGTCTTAGAATTTTCATTTCTGAATTTCTCAACAATAGCTTCTAGCGTCTTCTTTTCTTTAATTATATCATCAATCTACTATGTCTATCTTGCTATGGTAATCTTATAATTTTCAACCAGACTCTATCTCATTAAATCCAATCTTTTTTCATTCTATATATCAACTTTCTTGTTTTTTTCCTCTTCGAGTTCATTCTTAAGTCTTTCAAGATCTAGAACAAATTCTTAAATCTATCTGGCTTGAAGTTTACTCTCATGCTTTATATCTTTATTTTAACTTTATAGCTCCTGTATTTTATTATCCTTATCCTCACAGATTTTGATATGATTCTCATTAAGCTGTAAAAGTTTAGTCTCCAAATCTCTAAGCTTATTCATGCCATCTTCATATTTAGATCTATAGTCAAGCACTCTCTCGTCATATAAGACACATTTCAATCCGTTTTCCTCATAGTTCTTTTCATTATAAGTCTTTTATATATTTCTATGTTGCTCGTAGTACATTTCAGTCAAAACAAGTATTTATCTTGATAGAACTTTATTTTCATTTAAAATGATCTCTTGAAAAGTTTTATGCTTAGCTATCTCTTTTTGGTAATTAACTTTTTGAAGCTCAAGTTATTGCTTTACAGAAACATTTTAAGTAGTCAATTATTGAATAAGCAATTCCTTCTCATTTAATTAGTTCTGAAGATATTACAAGTTAACATTTTATATCTAGTTATTGATATTTTATAGTTTCGACTTTTCGATTCTAATGAACTCATCCATATTATTTTAAGCCTTTTATTACATTTAATAGTCTGTCATTTGCGAGGATCTTGCTCTAGGTTATTACCTTGAAATACCTTAACTACCAATTTGATTCAGTGGATGACTATTGTTTAGCATATTTTGATTAACATTTGTTAATCCAGAGCTCCCTATAACTTTGAATTAAAATTTATATACAATCATTAATATCTTACTTCTTTATTTTTGAATATTCTAAACTACAGTTTAATAGCTTTGAGATAATATTTGCTGCTAATTACCAATACTTTACTATGATTTAGATGGACTCAATGTCTTGCCTTAAATAGGGTAGGACAATTCTTAATTTCTTATGACAGTTTGTCTACTAATGCTTTTTTAATTTCTTATTTACGAGACTCCACTACCTCCGCTAGCATTGCATGATTCTCTTCTTTGTGGTAGATCTCCCGCAAGTTGTACACTCACAGTTTAGTTATTCAATGATTTATTCAGTTACTGACTCAATTATTACTGCTACTGTAGGTTGCTTTACTTTCTTTGAGTATTCACTTCACTTGAAGTAAGATTTTTTTAATGTTTTGGAGGAGTTTAGAAGTTTTCACCTATCAAAATATCGGTAGCCTTGGTTATAGCGCTGATATTTCCATTTTGACCAGTCGAGATTTTATCTTTTGACTCGCTTCGATTAATTTACTAATTGGGTTGTTAGTAATGGCTGGATAATGAGGTATTAGTTGAGTTATTAAAGGGAAGTACAGACTATCTTTAGACTCTGGTCTCTTATTAATGATTCTACAGCTGCATTTGCAATTTAACGGATTTATATTAATAAATTTTAAAAATACTCTAAAGCCTTAGTACTTATTTTTTTATTTTCTCTATTTCGACCACAATCTACATCATGGGGTTTTGGGGTTTTGGGGTTTTGGGG